GCCGTCTTTGTCCGGAGTGAATATCCAACGCGCTCGTCGGTGACGGTGTCTCCAACCTGCGCCGCGCTCGGCGAACCTCGACAGCGCTTTCGGTGGCATGCAGCTCTTTGCGACAGAAGCCTGGAGAGCAGCTCCTCTGCTGCTCACACACTCTGCACAGCTGACACAGCCTACTGTGCGGCTGCCACAGCTGTGACAGCGATGGGCTCGCCCTCACTGGCCCTCAGTCACTTGTGCTGCGGCTTGTGTGAGCGACACTGCTCGGCGACTGCCGGCACACTGTGAGACCATGGGTGTGAGGTAAAACCACGCTACCAGCGCTTGGTCACATCGGCCCCGAGGTCAGATCCATCTACTCTGTTGATGACAAGACTTGTTTACCGGCTGGAGCCGAGCAGGAGGGCTTGGCGCACAACCCCTGTTCAACTCACCCTCCACACCCCGTAGTGCCATTTCACTGTGGCACAGATCGCGTTACAAAACCTGACCAGTTGCGCCATTTCGTACCTCTCCGTCGGTGCCTTCCAGAGGCAGCTGCGACCCCGCCGAGTAGACGGTTGCACACAGCAGGTGGCGCGGTGTGCAACCGTCCACTCGGCGGGATAGCAGCTGCCTCTGCGCGTCCTGGGGAGGTACAAAATTGTCGTCGACGCCGCTGAGATCGGAAATCAAGCTCTGACAGGTCGCACGTCGCTCCTTTGACGCCGACGTGTCTGACTCACCCGTGCAGATCACATCAGGACACGATCTCGACGCGCTCGGTACGACGCCTGCGACCCTGACCTGCCCTCGTCTGCACTAGCTTCTGTTTCGTCGTCACTTTTTTGGCGCCTCTCCTCTTTTTTCTCCTCTTCTTGTATGCTTTGTACATTGCGTCGATTCCTTTTCGCGTGAGCACCACCCTGAAGCTCGCCCAGCAGCGGAACCGCTCCCTAAGTCGAAGGAGCATCATCAGTCTCACCCACTTCGCTCGCTGCCCACTGTCTCCGCTCCCTCCCGCTTGAGCTGCCGTCGCGGTCCTCGTTCGTCCCACTGGCTGCTGGCCTGTCTGCACGTTGCCTCCGTTATCCCTCCTCCTCCGCGACTCCCTCAAGGCCGGCCGGGCCTCCTTCCACCCAGTGAAGAGCTTCCTCAGCCACTCGATGTGTTCCTCTCTCTTCATTATGCGCGCCGTAGCCTCATCATTGAGCTGGGTCCACCTCTGCACCGCTCCCGTCGCCGCCTCGGCCACGACTTGCAAGTTCCTCGTGACCCCGGCGCCAAGGTCCCTCCGGCTCTTCTCCGAGAGATCATCTACCAGCGCCGGCAACACCCCCCCGACGGCTGGGGCTAGTGCATCGTACCCGTCCTCATCCAGCACCCTATAGCGTGAGCCCTTCAGCGCAGCGACATGCGCTTTCCTCAGCGTCTTCAGCGTATCCTTGGAGTCGGGTGCCGCCTGGGCTACTTTGCTGATCGCCGTCCCCGTCTGCGCTCGCGCTACTCTGAGGAACCATCTGGCCTGCTCCCTATTCCCCAGGCAGGCGCCGCTAAGCAAGTGCGCCATTGTCGCCCTAGGCGGGTTCTCATCTTCCTCGGTCCATTGCTGCGCGGCTTTCCGCGCGACTGGACACAGCGGGTCTCGCTTTAGTGCCGCCCTCCTCGCCGCGTCCCTCGCGGCCTTACAGACGAGGCAGCCCCTGAGTTCGCTCCTCGTGGCGGCGCCCGGGGTCTCTCTCCCCGCCTCTCCCCGCATGATCCTCTCGTGGTGCGCTCCGTGTGGCACCCCCGCCTGCTGCCGCACCCGCGCTCCCATGACGGTCTTTTGCTGGTTCCCGCTTTAAGCTG